CCTGCTACGTTTTCCTCAGACACAACATGATATTTATGCTGTGTTTTCTGGACTTACTGAATCTCTATTTTCCACCAACTACGTTCATACCTCATCCTCCATTTCAACAGGGCCACAAGCCTCAACACTAGAGTTTTTCTGAGACAGACTGCTCACAAACACAGCAAGCTAAATTCAGATGTGGCCAAATTATGGGATCTTCACTCAGTCTTAATAACAACTGACACTGCTAATAGATTTACTGATTTCAGAGGGAATACTGGTGGACTGAGATCTTGTCCAGCTGTTGCAATCTGTCCCATGGCAGAGGGTTTGCTTCAATTTTACACAAAGGCAAGAGCTTTAGTCTTGCTCCCTCGTGCTGCAGAAAATTACTTGCACTCTACCTAGGACTTGGTGATGCTGCGGCACAGTGTGTCTTACACTCCCTCCCCACTCTCCCTTGGGCTGCAAGGGTGCAGCCAGTGCTCACCACCCTGCCAAAGGCTTGGGTCTTCACATTCCTCTGGCAAAATGACAATGGAAGAGCAGCGAGATGCTATGGGTCGGTGCTGGGCTACGGGGGATTTGTGTAAGTCTCTGTGCTAAAACTTCCCTCAGAAACGAAGGTACTGAGCACTTCTCAGGTGTTGATGAGAGCTGTCACACTGTAGTCCACCGGGAGGAGCACTGGCTTCAGCACACCCTAACAGAGTCTGGCCCCTAACTCAGTGTAACACAGCAATCCGAGCATCAATGCAAGAAAAAAAAAAAAAAGGAGCCAGATTTTATAGGCCAGATTTTATAGCTTAACTCTCTGTTTTCCACAAGAACCAGAGGTCCATCCCTTGCTTTCATCACACCTCCTAGCCACCCTATCAACCCTCCCACCCCAGCACATCACCACCACCCTGGCTTTTCCTGCTGCTGTCCAATCTGGCAGACACCTCCACATGGTGACACCCCACAACCCTCTGCTGGGACCACACGGCAGGGTCAAGCAGAAAATTCTGCCTGTGACAGTGCCTTGCTCCCCCAGTCCACAGGGTGCAGGTGAGTTGGGACAGATCTTCCCCTTTACTGCCATTAACCAAGAAACATCACCAGATGTGTAGCTTTTACATTTTAAGGTCAGGCTTAATTCAAAGCAGATGCAGCAAATTTTTTTTTTATGAGCACATTATGTTCAAAGCTTCCAATGCATCTGCATAAAAAGCCCATGGAAACAACCTGATACTGAAATAGCAACTGTTTTGATACCACATCATCCAAAATAATAAAAACATGTTAAAGATCTTACCATTCAGTCCCTACATACCGTTCTCCCTAAAAACAGATTTAAAACATAGCTGTGTAATAATTAAAGGGAGACACCATTAGTTACCGTATCAAAAAACATGAACAACAACACAATAAGCAAGGGTTTTAGCACTCTGGAAAGGATCTGGTCCTGTTTTTGCCATCACAAGTTAAATTAAGGAAGGCAGTGATTGTGTTAGCTGTAATTTAAACACGCTGAGCACTGGAGTTACATGCAGGAGTGGCTGCTTGTTAAGATGGATAAACAATGGAAAGACATGTTTTGCATTCAGATCAATGAAAATACTACTACAGTAATATAAAAGACTGCACAATCACCTGAATAATGTTTATCTTTAAAAATAAAAATTTAAAAAAAAAAAAAAAGGAAGACTTATTTAAGAAATGCTTCCTATTTCCTTAAGGACCTTCACCGGTTCTTAACTGGAGTCAGTGGAAGCTTTGCCACCGGGGAACTGGACCTTGGAAAGAGATTGTCATGTTGGCAAATGACAGTTTTCTAACTTTGTGGCCATAGCTGGATTAGCTTCTACAGCAGAGCATTGCTTGGCTGTGATGTTGAAGTAGGCAAAGCAATCTTCTTCTTTTAGCCATTGCTGCAAGAAGCCTTTCAGCCTAGCAGTTTAAACTCCCTGCCCCGTGAAGTACATAACCTTTTCCTCTCTCCACCACAGCTTTGGTTCTATTTATTTAATTATGTACAGAAAGGAAAAAGAAAAGTAGTTCTTACCAAAGATTAGAAATTCTGGGCATAGTCTCCATAACAGCTTCTGGGCTTTCCTACAAGAGTGACATGCTTCCCTGCTAGATTCGCTAAACTGTCCACAACAGGAAAAGTGGAGGGATGTATTTCACTCCATGCAAAATATCACTCAACATCTTCACCCACGTGTATGAGATCACACAGCAGAGATCTCCATTTTAAATATCTTTGCTGCTTGTTCTGAAGGTGAATTAATTTTTCCAGCACCAAGAATTAGGAGCAAAGACCTCCTGAAGAACACACTGGCAGCAGCTTCTCTTCTGTAGTGTTGGAAGGCTAGATCAAAAATCTCAGTCTCCCAAGCAACTGCAGCATGGCTGAGAGGGAATGAGAGACATAGAAAAAAAAAGGAATCCCAGGCAATAGTACTCACTATTTTGCATGAAGAAGCCCTCTAAGACAAGAAGAGCTTTAACCAACTGCTTTTGCAGGAATAAAGGCCCCTAGAACATGGCTTAAATGGCTATAGCTCTTATTCCTTTGCATATGACAAATTCTTCCATTTCTCTCTACATGAAATGGACCTAGGAAACACCAAATCAATGCTGACCATTCAGAGCTGAGATGCTCACAAGGAAGACAAGATGTGAGCTAATGATAAGCTAAAAAATTCCTGTGAGTCAAATTAAAAATAAACTGTCCCCTGAACACAAACAGCAAGACAGATTCAGATACCTTCTCCTCACAGTAAATAACACCTGGACTCATGACAAGGGAATCCCATCACCCCATCCTTCCCCTCCCTCGATGCAAGGGAGGAATGAATGTTCAGCAGGAACCCATCCCCAGCCACTGAAGACAACTGGCAGTGCATTCTCAGCACTGAATCTCAGAGAGTCAGTTGCTGTGCAATTCTGCTCAGACACATGGGGTTATGTCATCATAATGAAAACAGAAACACAACAAAAAAAAAAAAAAAAAAAAAAAAAAAAAAAGAAGCCAAAATTAAAAAAACAACACAAAACCCCAAGAAAACAAACAAACAAAAACAACAACCAAACCCTGCAGAAGCTGTCATGTGTAAACTCTCTCCAGACTCATTCCTGCAGCATCTTTGAGTCGGTGTCAATTTGTTTTTCCAAGACAGAAGCCTCAGCCTTTCATATCAGTAACTATGACAATACATTTTCAGGCCACCTTGCTTAGAGTCCCCCATTGTGGCTGTTAGATAACCATCTGCCTTGCAAGTGGCTATTGTTACTGTGAACTGTCTCTTTCATACCATTATCTTGCTGAAAAGCCTTTTCTGAAAGTAGTCCATTACAGCATGGAAAATAAAACCTCCGAGCATGGCTATGTAGCAGAATCAATGGCTCCCTTTGATCTGCAAGCTCAGTCAGTACTACAAATTTAAGAAACAAGGTTTTGCTTTGCTAAGCAAAGCCTGGCTCATCTGCACTTACAGCATCTTACTGAAAAATGCCATCTGTATCAGACGTTTTGAAGACTTTGGTGCAATATTCACTTAGCTTAGATAAATAATTTAGTAAGATTCATTAAAAAATAATCAGTGAATTAATTTTCATAGTGTACATCTATGCATGTAATTTAAAAAATTCAGTCCTCTACTACCCTGAATGGCATTGAGGATATTCACAGTGGATGAAGAAAATGCTGGTGATTGATGGAATAAGACTGAACATAGATTTTTCTTATTCTAGTCATGGAATTTCTTCTGAAATCTGCTGTGTGTGTTTGAGTCCTATTATTGGCAAAAGCAAAATGCATACACACTACAGGGAAAATAAGACCCTTTCTGTCTGTTGCAGGCCACATATATAGTATAGGAAACTAAACTCCTATCATGACAAAAGAAGTCCACATTTCATGCTACTGAAAGGAAACATTTTGTGCTGATATATAGGACAGGAATGTATACCACTGGAATCACTGTAGATAGCTATAAAATACTATGCAATATATAGAAATATCCTAAGAACATACAAAATTTACCAATAGTGACCTGAAAGTGCAAAGAGTACATATAACTAAATGCCAAGTCCTGATCTATAAAATCCTTTATGAATGACATATAAGCTGATAATTACAAAGCATCATTCAGACTACAAAATAACAAATGAAACATATGAAGTATTCTCTAAGAAAATCAAAATGATGACAGCATCGGGAATGTTATCTTTGGGACTTAGAATACCATTTCTACCTTGATACCTAACAAAACCAAGGAAAATATATGCTTGAACAGGGTAACATAAATAAGAATGCAAACCACCACCGAATGCCTTAGGACTATTACCTCTTTACATCTCAGCCTTTAAATCCAGCAAAGCCATTAACTGTTTGTTCTTAGGCATCTCACAGTATTTTATAGGGATCTTTCAGGAATTAAATATAGGTCTAAAGAAAGCCTTTGAACCTCCTTCCAAAGATTGTTTTAAGCATTGTGTGGAGTTATACAAATATATTTCCATGAAAATTGGAAGCCTTAGTAAATATTAAATTTTCTATTACCTTTTGACATAAAAAACATAGATGGCTTAAAGACAAAAGTGAGTTCTATAAATACAAAGTTAATTTGACCATTAAATTGTATTTTTACTCTCACTCAACCATTACCCTGAATCAACGTCAGTATGTCGCAATGATTCAAAATACTGACGCCCCACTACAAGATACTTTCCCATTTTCCTTTTAAGGATATGATTGTCCTTAAAATATGTACACAGCAAGCAGCCAAACGAACCGCCAAGAGATTTGCAAAATGTACTTACACTGGGTATGCGATAGAAAGCTTGAGAGGGCACCTGGGGAGCACCTGGCCTCAGCTGGCAGTACGGCCACCCTCCCACCCCATGCCGGGCTGCCAGCCCAGGGCTTCCTGCTCCGCACCCGGGACTAGCACCGAGGAGGAAGCCGCCTGACAGCATGCAGGGGATGGAGGAAAAACCGGGCACAAAACAAAGGAGAGAGAGAAAAATGAAGGGAAGCCAAAGCATTTTAATGATGATTCGTGTTAGTCATTACGTGAGAGGGAGCTAGTCTAGTGTCACTCTATTGGTTTCTCAATACAGACATGCCACAATGCAAACAAAATGCATATGATAAATAATTTGCCGCACACAAGTCCTGTAGAGATGGTAGCTAGTATCTTCTAGCGGTTTTAAAGATGCACCACTCCTACTACCTGTACTCAGTGCTTCCAGTTTTTATGGTACTACCCCAAGCTCACCACATCCTCCCTCCCTCTCAACTTCCAGTACCTTATAGAATCTCTCTGCCCAATTTGTCCTTACAACAAAATAGGGATTTATGATTTTTCTGCAGAGTTGTCATGCAAGGAAAGATGTGTCCCTTACAGTCAAACAAAAACAAAAGAACAGAAAAAGGAATGTTAGGTTTAGGGCTGAGGACCGGGATAATATTCCATGTTCTGTACGTTCATCCTTTTGAGGGTATATCAGCTTTAACTTTCTAAAATGTACAGGCAGAGTCAGGCCAAATGCAAATCCCTTTCTCAGGCAAAGGAAATCACTGACAGCGTGTTTGTAGACAGACCTACAGCACATCCCCTCAGCCTGTGCGTGGGAGCACGCATGCATGGCTGTGTTCACATCTGAGCACAAGTGTGCATGGGTGTGTGCCCTTGCCCAGGTGCACGTACCCTAGGAGGAGGTGCGTCCCGACTACACATGCATATGTACAACACGTCTCTGTGAGTAGGCATGTAGAAAACCACACACATACACATTAGAAAGAAAACATATAAAATAATCTTGTTTGAAGTGTATTAAGGTTCTTACTCAAACCATAACAGGGACTGATCAGGAAAACTAACACTTTCTCCCTGTTCACTGGGACGTTGCAGTTTGCTGTTAAATCCTGCAGTAATTTCAGAACTAGATGCCAATTTTACCTTTGAGACTATAATGTCATTTCCCCAGTGAACCACACATATACATATATACAATTCTTACTATGGTATTTCCTGGCTTTTTATGGTTAATCTATAACCTTAATATCCTTCAAATGTATATTCTGTATATTTATTTTCCTTTTTTTCTTTCAATTTAAGAGACAATAAAACCAACTGCTATGTAAGATCAGACCCATTAGCTTCAATGACGTGAATTTGGATTCTCTGCATAATATAGACATGTATATTTTTAAAATGTATATTATTTTTCAGATACACTGGAGCATATATTTTATATTAACTGTGGTCTGATGATTAAATACTCATATCAAAATATTTTGTAAATACATAACATTTACCTTTAGACTTCAGTAATTTTTGGAGCTTTTTCAGTGTATCATAAAAATATGTCCTCAGGCACATTAAAACCCTATTAAATTTCTTTGAAATGTTGTCAATGCCCATGTACAGTAGCCACTATTGAAAAATGTTCTGGCCATTAATACATTTCTCATAAGATCCAAGCTCATCAGACCATTTTATGTACCACTAACTTACCATATTTCTTTTTCTCTCTTAAAAGTAAATTTATTCTGACGTTATTAAGAATGAAAATAAAAAGCAATGAGAACCCAACCTTTTTTTAAATAGTCAAAAACTAATTTCATATATTTTAAAAAATAATAATTAAAAAACACGTTTCTTTCCTGGGTTCCTTCTCTGTAAGGTTTAAGCCCAGAGCAACTTTGTCTAAACCCCTGAAAATAGAGGATTGCAGTGGCAATGCTGTCAGAACCTCAGCCTGACCCACAGAATGCGCCACTGGAATAAAATCAGCACTTCAGACTTACTTATCTGGGGATGCATGAGCCCATACAAAACAGAGTTTTGCTCTAATTTAAGGTACTTACACAAAGTTCTATTATTTTAGAACTGTAAAATTATCTACCTATAAAAACTAACTCTTGCTTAAACTCTAGATAATACAGACGGGTGATTTTCTTTTTTTTATAAAAAATCTGTAGCATTGAGGAAATCTGCTAAAATATGTATATATTTACACATGGCAAGCAAGTTACTGTATAAATGTGAACAGTGTGTATATATTGGCATTTAGTAAAATGTTTCCCTGAACCTGATTGTATGTGTTATTGGACAAGTATTGATGTAAACATCTGAACCTACTTCAGGTGTCTCCTTTACCCATTTACATTAGACCAGATCAAAACCAACCAGACAGACAGACAAACAAAAATATGTTTTCCTGTTAGACAAGTCCACCTAACTCCTTAGTTAGCTACTGCACACAAGTCAATCAAGTCTGCTGCTGAGCAGTGCTCTTGTTCCTACAGAAGGTAAAATACCTGTTAGGTTGGTTGGTTTTTTGCTTGGCATTTTTTCCAACATCTTGGAGAGCAAACACCATTTTTGGAGCCAGGCACCCACCCTCCACTCCTCCCCCAGAAATGATTTAAAGAGAAGTGTATTGGAGAACCTCTCGTGTTGCTCCTTTTGTAACTCTGTTCCCTTGTAGAACTCATGGCACTGCTTTGCATGAGGAAGGACGGTCATTTAGGTTCATAATCCAAGTTCTGCTTCCAAAAAGGCATGTAAAAATGAACCTCTCCAGTGTTTAGTGCTGCAGAAAAATTATACAAATGTAAAAAAAAGTGCTCTAAAAGAAGTCAACTTTTTATATTCAGCCATACAGTCTAGTAAGAAGGGATTCAGAAGTGCAGGCCCATGGAGTACAGTGACGTAAGCCTTTTGGGTGCCTTTCTTCAGGTGATGCAAAACTAATTCATTGGTCTCCTACGCAGACTTTTACACATTGACCTTGCCGTTTGTCTCCACCTCTTACTCAACTACTTTTTGGCACTGTCCTGGTACGCGGCAGCTTTCAGTGTTGTCCCTGCTAAGCCCCTGTTACTGACCCGGCGTACCAGTACTTTAGAGACAGGGATTTTTGTTCTGTGCATCTCGCTTTTGGCCAGGTGATGGTGTGCGATGTGATGACTGTTACTGGCGTCTGCTCCATGACTGGCATGCGACGAAAGGTGTTTAATGCTGATGGGTATCTTGGAGTCCTTCACTGAGCTTGAGGGCGTTCTCAGTGAGCATGTGGTCGTTATTGGAGACACGGGCTTGGCGCGTGGCACGAAGGTGACCTCTTCATCCGCAGGGCCCGCTGGTGGGTTCTCATCCGGCTCTGCGTAGAGGTCGTAGAGAGCATCCCCGCTGTAGCTGTCCCTGGGAATGGTCTCCTTCTGGATGCTTGTGGAACTATCTTCCTCAGGACCAGGGGTGGTGGAATCCCAATAGCCCTCATCGCTGTTTGGGATGCCTTCGTGCTGCTCCTTCTCCCTGCCCTTCTGCTCCTCTTTGTGGTTGAGGTGAATGGGGATCTGGTGGAGGCCACCACGTTTCACCACCACCTTGTTCTGGGCCCCCTCGGTACCTCGGTTCTCCTTCAATCCCTCGGGCTTCTTTGTCCCTCCTCCACCTCCTCCTTCTGTCTGAGTCTCCTCTGTCTGCGACAGCATATCCCAGAACTCCTGAAGGTAGGTGTCATCCACCTGGTCCGGGCTGGCCATCTCCTCCCCGCCTCCCTGGTAGGCCACCATGGTGGGATGCTTCTTGGAGGCACCCAGCTTGCCGGCCCCGGGGGTGCTCTTCTCGCAGCTGCCACTCCCGCCGCCCACATCCTCCTCATGGTCCGCAATAATATCTCCGCAGCCTGTAAGAGAGTCAAAGCTTTTCAGTGAAGTCACGTCAGCAAACATCAAACAAATACGATCAATCGATTGCTCTGAGGGTGGATCAACAGAGGAAGGGTCAGGGGCGGCTGCCGTCTCTTGGCCGCTATCACAGTGAGGTTCAAGAGGGGGGATAGTCGTTATTGGAATGTCACCTGTTATGGCCGCATCCTTCGCAGTCCCAAGCTCTGCGGCGCCCGGCTCCGGTCGCTGGCGGCAGAGCTCCTCGGGTCGCCGTC